CTGTTCAACAAGAGGTGCCCCCAGTACCGCCAGACTGTGGGTGACTTGCTTGGAAACACTCACCTGTGGGCTTCTGTGAGCACACCACCAACTCGGACATGAAAATTATGAACTTGCATAACCAAGTCAGTATTTCTTTTCATGGTTTCCACAATCATATTTATTCCTTGGTTTAAAAGGTTTTGGTTCAACAGTTTTATAAACAGACTTCACAAAATGTGCAATATTTATAAACATAGTTCTTAGTTGCAGTGGTAGTAAGAATCTTAATGTTCATGACAAAGTTCACTTCAGTTATGCAACACAAGGTTGGACTTTCCTCCCCTCTTCTCCCTCCCCCAGTTGGCACTTCATTGTAAATTGGAGAAAGTTTAAAAAGATGAAAGGTTAACCTAAGCATGATGTTATAAGCACCTTGCCACAATATTACATTCTAGTAAGGCAAATTTTGTTTTGTAAAGTCTGACTGTGCAACTCGGAGACCTGTAAAAGGTGACAGAAATGCCAGCCTTCTCCTATAAGGAACAGGCCTTCATTTTTGCTTTGAAGTTTTCACCCCTCTGCACCATCCCCCTTAAAAAAAAGTACAGCTGATAATACAGCAGAATATATCCCTTACAGGGTGAAAGGAAATTACAGTAGACAAAGGCTGAAAACACAGTGCATAGTAGACAAAATGAGACTGTTCTTAAAAATAAAATTAAAAAAGAAATAAAAGAAGAAAAAGGAACTGAACAACCAGCAACAATGGAATTTTTCTAGAGGAAGAGTACTTTTGGACTTCATAAATAAGTGGAAAATTCCTAAAATACTTTGCTATGTATTATAAAAAAGCGTGAAGTGTTTTCCAGTTGTCACCTAAGCGCTAGATGCAACTTTGTAGGAGTAAGTGTTTGGAGGCAGCTTTGAGCTCTGACTGGCACAGGCATTCCAGCAGGGTAATGCTGCCAACAGCAGAAGAAATCCACCCAGTAAGACACAAAAGCCACTGAAATAGAACGCAGTGTCATACTCCTGCGTCCAGTCGTAAAACCAACCTGAGGGTGAAAAGAAGAGAGAAGAGCATCAGTGAGGACTTAAATGTAACACAGCACTGTACATGAGAGAAGCATCACGAAAAAAGAAAAAGCCAAATTTAAAATGCAGTTTTACCACTTAGCCATGAAACGCGCTTTTCATCAAAGCCAGAACGCAATCAGCTTGATCAGCTCAAGCAAAACAGACTTTCGTTTTTGTGGAAGACTTTGATTTCATCTTCCCACAGTAATTAGGACCAACTAGAAATACTCGCATGCAAATTAGTTGTGTCTGGTCCCGAGAAACTTCATGTTCACATTAGAGTATCTATACCTTGGCCTTACCTACGATTGGTGGTCCGAAGCTATTTCCAAGTCCAGCAAAGAACATCAATATCCCATAAGCGTGAGTCAGTTTATCAATTCCCACAGTCTTTGTTGTCACATATGGAAAAATTGACCAGTTCCCAGTCAGAAAACCCAAAGTCCCAGAAAGCATCGCTAACGTAAGGTAACTTTTGGCAAATGGAATTGCAAACAAGGCCATGCCTGTCATAAGTAAGGTAGTTACGTATAGATATAAAGTGTTAACCCACTTAAAATCTGCCAGTATTCCTAAAGTAAGTTTGCCAACAGTGGTCATAATGCCTATAATGGAAATAAGGGGCATGTGATAATCATCTTCATTAATGTTTGCACTTCTTGCTACATCTTCCATGAGCAAAGAGGGAGGAAATCCACCAATATCAAAGAGCAAGATGGCAACAAAGAGAGCTGAAAATACTTTGTTCTTAAAAAGAACCATGGTTTCCTCCCAGTAGTTCAAATAGAGCTGCCATTTCCTTTTGGCGAGTTGCTTGCAGAGGTTTGTCTGTTCTACAACTTTCTTTTTGTAAGTGTCTTTCTCATTTACATTTATTGAGCTTAATACATTCTTATTTAAAACACTATCCTGTTTGTAATCAGGCATATTGTTCACACATTTTTCATCAACGTAGCCCTTTTCAAGGATGCTTATATTTTCTTCAACAGTCTTTTCTTTTTCATGGTAAACAAAATATTGATCTGGGACTTTGTCTACACATGTTTTCTCTGGTGGAGGGGAATCAGATGACTCCAATGGTCTCATTAGGCTGCCACACGCTAATATATTTAGAGACAGCGCGCCAACTATTAGCAGACAACCATCCAGTCCATATAGATCAATAAGCTCTCTTTGCAATGCTGCATATATAAAGAGCCCAACACTTGAACCTATAAAAGGAAAATAAGATCAGTTTAAACTGGGGAACAGAGAACATGCTTCAACACTAACAAACTTCTACACTTCAGCAGCTACAAATACAGTGTCACAGAAACACTAAGTCATTTGTGCTCCTCCCTCCTCAGTCTAGTGAACCGGTAAGTTATCGTCCCTCTTGAAATTATAGTTTCTTTAATGAGTATGCACAAAACAAAAAGCCTTTCAAAATATCTGAGCAATCCACAATGATTAACACTAGCAGACATTTCAGAAACAGGCAGGATCAATACTTTGTCTGATGAAAAAACATTAAAGAACTATTAACTCATCCTTCTGCCAGGCCTTCACATACATGCATCCCTCAGGTATCATTCTGAGTTAGCACAGTTAGAATCTCACACACCAATATTTTCTCCTTCCTCCTCCTTGTGGCCACCTTCCTCCTCTAAGGCAGGAACAGACCAGGAGTTTACCAAGAGCCCCCTAGAAAGAGCCTTTCACTGCTCGGTGTTAAAGGAGGGGGGGGAGGTGTTCACATGGTGCGAGTTTACCGCAAAGGCATTTCTGAAGCTATGAAGGGCCAAATATGCATTTCAGAAATTTGTCTACTCAGAAGAAAACACCGAAGAGGAAGTAATTACTATAAGCAGAAGCATTTTTTTCAATCCCGCCAATTTAAAGAAAAAGCTCTCAGTTGAAGTAATCATAGATCTGTTGTAATCAATGGATGTCCACTCACAGATATCCACAGACCATCGGTTTTTCAAGTCAATTTGAAAACAAACTTTCAAGTCAAATGATTTGCTGAAGACTATCTCTAAATTATATTAAAGTCATTTATATACTTCAGTGATAAATACAACAAAAAGTAATTATAAAATTCCGACTTGTTCTGTCTTCCAGGTACTAAAATTAGCCAGGGCTCAATAAGATCAGGCCTTAAGGCCAACTGCCTGGAAGCCCAAGAAAAGTCACTGAAAGTAATTCCAAGGAACATTTCTGCAAAAGTTCCCCTTTATTCCAGCAGTGTGTGTCTCATTAAGATTTCGCAGCAGTGACTGTATTGACCAGGCCTCTCCTCACTAACAGCGACTTGAGAAAACAGATCAGAGGAGAGACTCCATACAACACAGAAAGCAAGGCATGGGATAACAGCATTTCTTAAACAGTTCCTACTTAGTCCACTCATTTAGCAATTCCTCTTGATGTAAAGACAACATCACACAACCTAAAGATCCAGAGAGAGAATGAGAAAAAAGCTCAGCATCCTTCAAAGAATTTTCCCTGTATTATCAGAGTTCATTTTACTAGGATCCCTTTATCCAACACGGATGAACTTCTGGAATATTTCAGGATTTTCCTTTTAGTTTGGAAAGGAAAACATATCAAAAATATAAGTCAAAACTTCAATATGAGGTTATGGTTATCCAGCATTTATATTCTGCATGTACAATCTCTTTCTCACCTCTGATCTGGTGTAAGAAAGAAGTGGGAGAAGAGATGACTACAGAAAGTTTGCCTCTTATTACCTGTGACATATGGACCAAGCAACTCATGAGTTTGCTTTCATTTTAACACATACTCTTTTCTCATCTATATGGATAACCCATACCACATGCCTGCAAGTGTAGTTACTATTCTGTCTAAAGCCTAATTTTATCTGTTCATTGCTACTGATGTTTTGACTTGCAAAGTACTTCAGGAAGTAACTGAGAAAAATATAATCTCTTGGGTTTTATTGCCAAGGTAACAGTAGCTGTATCAGCGTTGAAAAGTTAGAGAGAATGACAGTTAAAAGTCCTACCTGTTGAAATCAGACCAAGCGCAAGGCCTCTGCGTTTGTCAAAATAGTGGCAAGTGATGGTAACTGTTGCGGTGTACAAAAGGCCACATCCAAGACCTTGACAAAAAGAGGAATGAAGCATGCAACATACTCAGTGAAATGAATGCGCCCTTTTATTCCCCAGATAATGCAGTAGTGTACCCTGGGCACAGAGGTACCTTTTAACTTTGAGCAGTTTCAGTCACAGAATCATAGAATGGCCTAGGCTGGAAGGGACCTTAGAGATCATTTAATCCAACCTCTCTGTCGTGGGCAGGGACGCCTCTCAACTAGATGAGGCAGCACATGCGGACCGAATGAGGATCGAACCCGTGACCTTGGTGTTATCAGCACCACGCTCTAACCGACTGAGCTAACCATGCCAGCCTCATACAGATGGGGCCATGAGGCTGCCCGCACCCTCCCACCTCCCTCTGCCTTGGGCAGCCCCGGCTGCAGGATCTGTGTGGAGCTGCCTGGGTTTGAGGAGTTCACTCGCTCCCTGGCTAGGTGGAAAGGGCTGTGAGGCTTTTGGTGCAGGGGCCAGCCCCAGAAAACAGCCGAGCTGCATCTGCATGGCACTGTGCCTGAGCCAGCACGCTGCTGGGTCCCCGGTGGCCAGCCAGGTGCCTGGATTCCCAACTCAGTTAATTTGATAAACCAGCCACAGCAGCACTCTGCAGCACAGAGGGGCAGGTCACCACCTGCTAGAACAACACTTTCATGCCTCTAAGACAGTGTTCTAGGTTCAATCCAGTTGTGTGGAGGGCAACATCGCTCCCTAATCCTTTCTAATTTATCAAATTAGAATGAGTACATGACAAAATTCCAGAAGAGATGTTATTCCTTTAAAAATGGCACTTCACGCAGAAGATCTGCTTGATTCGATCCCTTAGGTAAGATTTCAACTCTTCCATCTGTAACAATCATGTCAACAGAGGACAAACTGTTTTCAAACCCTGATGAACATATGTGTTGCTTTCATCTTTCACTACATGGCAGCAGCCCTCTCTACCCCAAAAATCAAGTCCCAGACTACTACTGGCTCTGTGAGTACATTTCTCATTTCAGATTCATAAACCAAGACTCAAAATAACAAAGATTCTCTATATGAAGAGAATGTGTTTCTTACCAACAACAATCCCATATGAAATATAGAGAAAGTATATGTTAGGTGCAAAACTGCTCATCATGAGGCCTCCGGCCACCATAAAGCCACTGAAGATTGCTACTGGTCTTGCTCCAAAAGATGATACACATATACTGCAGACAGGACCTAGAGGAAAAGCAGGAAAAACATTCCTAGTAAATACCATCACCAGGGAAAACTTCCTAAAAGTACCAGTCTACGGAAATGTTTCTTATGATTATAAAATAATAAATATTTAAATACTTATAAGAAACATTTAATTATATTAAACAAGAATTCAGAGTACTTATTTTTACAGGATTCTATAAAGAGTTGGTTACAAAACCATACAAGATCAGGCTTGCAAGATTTTTGCTCAAGGAGAAGCTGACATCAAGACTACGAACCAATACCAGAACTGCAAGGGGCAGAGCGGCCAAACGTTCTTTAAACACAGGATGATATATATACATGCTAGAGTATAGCACTGCCTCTATACACCTAAAGACAAAGTCTGAGAAGAATCTTCACCTTCAGGTACCAAACTAAGTCAGAGCATCAGCCAGGCTTTTGCCAAGTAGGCATTTTTTTTGTCAGAGCCCAAATCGGTGTTTCAGAAAGACACTATGTGTATGCAATTTGATATAAGATTTACAAAACTGAAATGGAAAACAGTAACTTCTGATCATAATCATGGTAAGAATGCCACCTGGTGCTTACATAGAGAAAATATCTGCTGATATACTAGATAGACAAACACTACTCTTCTCTGATTTTCTAGGAAATAAAATACCTGCTAGTCAGTATTTTACCAAATAACTGTTTAGTAGCTATCTTGGTTTCCACTCTAAGTCTACGAAAAATACAAGGCATTTATTAAGAATGTCCAAAGTAATGTTCATGAGGTTTGGATAGACACTTCTTGGTTGGTTAGTTTTTCAAAACAAGAAAAAAGTGCAGGCAACATTCATGCTCTGTCTCTCCTCAGCCAGTTCTCCCCTCACAGAAGCTGTAGAACAAGCACTTATTTTCACTTGTGACCTGGAATACACCTTTCAGTCTGAAGCAGCGTGCAAGCTTGGTGCCCTGCATAAATAAGCAACCAGCAAGGGACTTGGCTTGCAGAAGGCAATCTCATATCTGAAACCCTGCAGTTCTAAACATTCATAGATAGACTTACACATTAGCCCCAAAATCCTAAACTCAGCAACTCTGAGAAGCTAGATACACAGAACGAAAGCCATTATTCTAAAAACAACATAAAAAACCCCACCTCATCACCTTTGTGTCTCATTTGCAGCGATATGAAGGCACTCCATGGTCGATACAATCTGCAAAAACAGTAACTTTGGAGCCTGCATTTGTTAAGGTTGGTCCTCCCTGACTCACACTTAACCGAGATTCTCAGCAGATGGGAGGTGATATGAGGTGAATAACAGTTGGAGCCGGGGACGGTGCTTGCCTAGGTTTGTAGACAGGAGCTAGCAGCTGGGAATGTAGAAAGTTTTTCGTGTGGTTACGGGCCACGGGACAAGCAGTTCTGGCAGGCAGGAGCACAGATCCATTAGCAGGTGAAACGATCCTCAAAGGCAAGACAGGTCAGAACTCTTGCCCTACATGAGAGCTATCTGCCTAGGGAACGAAGAAGGGAAGCAAGGCTGAATCAGGGCTCTGCCAGGCAAAGAGTCAGAGCTGAAGAAGAATCGAGAAAAATCTTCTGGGCAAGTAGGGCTTATTTGGATTTTGGAAACTATGAAAAAGGAAGATGTAAGCACTTGCTGCTTCTCAAGAGTCAGCGCGCTGTGGGAATGAAAGCTGGCCAGAATAACTTGGGCAGAGTAACTTGCCAAGAACAAAAGCTCAGAGTGTCAGATTGTTGCTGATTCTTAGAATTAATTACTAGAACTGGCAAATTAAGATTGGTACGTTTCCTAAAACCACAGGATTTAAAAATAAACAAAGGATTGAATCTGTATTACATAAAAAATTCTTCTACACTAAAAGAACAACAGGTAGTGATAACATAATTCAATTAAGCAGAGGAATTTGCACTCTTTCTGTTCTTTAGTTCTGACCCGCTACCTTGCTAAAACAAACACTATTTCCCTTCCACCTGTATTTCGATACAGCTACTTTCAGAAGGTCGCTGTCCAGCCTAGAGTGGTGGCACAAGTACAGAAGTACAGACTGCACTGATTGCTAGGAGAGGATCCAACGTGAAGCTGGACCCTCTGACCCCAAGCCACAAAAAGGGAGACACAGAACTGAAGAACATGTCTTCATAATCTGATAAGGACACTCTCCTTGGAACACCATCAAAAGCATCTCTGACAGGGTCCAAGGAGATGCTCTTCCAGCTTCCCCCATTTATAAAAAACAATCCCAAAGGAGAACAGAAAGTACAAAGAGATATTTTTGCTCTGACATGGAAAACAACCTGCACCAAACTCAAAAACCTGCTCCAATAAGCTCAGTATTAATGTGTCATCTCACACAGCAAGAGATCTGGCAGTTCAGCAATGGCTCTGTTTATAAGAAGGAGCACCAGTATAAGTATTAAAATAGTTGTTATAGGCCTCTGGGACAAAAAGAAAAACAGCTCCTTCTTCCCCTTCACACTAGGCCCTACTTTCACCCTCCCCTCATGGTACTGCTAGGAAATAAAAGTCACAAAAGAAAACCCCCATTGCAGCCAGCATCTTTGTTCTTTTCCCTGCCTCCTTGCATTCCTTGTCTTTCTCCGTTTCCCAAAGAGCTGGCTTTTTTTTTTTCCCACAAGGCACAGTACCTTTGGTTATTACCATGGTATTTGCACAGGAGTTCACTGTACACAAACACGTTATTCTCGACAAGTAATTCAAGCACAATGGGTTCAAAGCAGTTAATTCTAGTCAAACGTCCAACTTTCCCAGAGTGGGACTGAGACTTGCTCTGTGAACTCCTGCCCTGTGGATTTTGTTCGAAGTGGACATTCAGAAGAATGTGGCAGTTTATGTACAGCAGCACAGGAAAAAGCTCTTCAGGGAGCATAAGGGTTTTCATTAGTTGACTGTTTCAGAAAGATCCTTCCACTGATAATGTATTTCTCACCGTAACGTGAACAACATAAAAATAAAATCCCAGTGGCAATTCTCAATGGTAAGCATGGAGAAAGGCTTTTAAGCCAGCATCTTGTTCAGTTTGCCAAGGAACTCCAGGGGTTAGGACTGGTATTAGAATACTTGAAGATACTGATAAATGTTTACCTCTTACAAATAAAACCCCTGGAGCATTTTTCCTTCCAAATTATGTATCTTAAAACTAGACCAAAATCTATCAAACAAAGATACCAGCCCAGTTCATAAGAATGATGGTTAATTCTAGCAAGAAAGCCTTAGAAGCCAGCACAGGGACAGACACTGCTCTTGTACACAGCCTGTCGAGGCTCAGCAACCAATAATACAATTACCAGGAGCAACAGTCAAGAAGAGTCCTAGATCTTGCAAATGAGAAGCAGCAGCAGAAGGAAGATAGGCTCTCATAGTAGGTCTTCATGCAGAGAGACCAAAGAGGAAGAACTCCTGGGAGGAAGCATTTGTATTGACATGTTTTGATTACGACGTCTATGTGATATGTATATATTTTCATTAAGATTTTTTTAAAATAAAATACTTTACCCTCAGTGAGACCCAGATGTGACAGTGAGTACTTCCCGAGATGTGCAGACAAGTCATCTGCTGAACTCCTGAGAAGTACAAAGCTGTTTTGTTTAATGGACATCAAGAACTGACACCCTCTTCCTCAATCTTCTCACACAAAGAGAAAAATTCTGCAAACCAACACTCCCTTCCTCCACTCATTCATCCAAGGGTCCTCCCTTCTTCACCTCATACACACGCAAAGCCTTTTACTAAGCAAACAATATCAGACAACTGAGTTCTTTGTCTTATCTCTCGCATTAATCTGACCCACCCTTCTTGTAGGTATCTGTCCAAGCCTGCTGAAATTGTAGTGCAGAAGCAATAATCGTGGACCATACGTAAAAACCACTGGACAGAACACTAGAATATTTTTTGTATATTGAATGCATTGCTAAAAGCTGGTCATAATAAATACGATATTATCCAAATACTTGGGATAAGAATTTAGATCAGAAAAATCCTTTTTACGCTGGAGAGCAACCCACTTTCAACTGACGGAAATGACTGGTCCTTTCCGGTAAAGTTATTAAATGAAATGGGCTCCTCTTTGGAGGAATCTTCAGGACACCTTCTCACCTCCCCACAAACTATATAGTTTCCATGACCTACAGCAGGGCTATCTATAAAGAGGTTTTTGTCACAAAAATAAGTGGATGTCGCAAAGGATTTTTAAGTATATAAAATTATTGCTTGAAAACACAAAATTAAGCTTTTTAAACACTTGGTACAGAATGCCTCAGGCCAGCAGAAAGGCCCCATTAATTTATCAAGACATGCCTTTCAAGGAAGAATCTTCTCTTTCTCCATTAATAAGAGGGAGTGGAATGGGAGATGGATTATTGGTGTCTCCCGCTATGCCAAATAACACTGTGAAGTCAACTCTCACTATAAACAGCTGTAGTGCCAATTACAGGCACCAAGGTCTTTGTTTTGCTTTTAACAAGAGTAGCACGGATCAAATTTAATTTCAAGCTCCAAGTGGATGCAAAATTAAGAACATTTAGTGCAGGAGAAACACACCATCTTCAGCAGTGAGATAAGTATCCTCCTCTGGCCCGTTTTAGTAGGGAAAAGCCTGATATTGTAGAGGAGGTTGCACCACTAATCCGTACAACAACACTGATGCTTTTCTTTCACTGTTTTTGGCCCATTTCTTCCAACATAGACCTTTCTGAGGCGTGACCGTACAGTGTATCTCCTGTCACCCTGCAAGGAACATAGCAACCAGGACCCCATCCCATTCCCTTTTCCAGCTGATGAGCTGAAGAGTCCAGCTGAGGGCCGAACGCTGGCCTTAGCGACGCTGCCCGTGCTGCGAGCGAGAGGGCAGAAATCGAACACCAGGCGGCTACGAAACTCAGCTCAATAAACAAGGTGATGTACTGGGTTTCTATGTCTCGGGTCTAAGTTTAGCTCTCACGCAAGTCAGAAGTAAACACTGTAGGAAGGAAACCAACACAGCAAATGTGAAAGGACTCACCAGCATCAGCTACTTCAAAAAATGTTTAAGACTACATGTACAGAGGGAAGGGGACAAGACACACAGAACCTTTTTCTGAGCCAGCTGGCATATGTGTAAGGACATTTTCTTCTTTTCAGTGAAATTACATTACTAATATAGCAAAATCACAGGGCAAACCTTCCACTATTACAAAGCTAGCTAATGTGATTTCCAGTGCTATCAATAAGAAAAGTCTTCCTTAAGAAAATCAGACACTAACTTATTTTCTGCGTGTAGCTGCAAATCTACCGTAACTGCCATTCTTTTTTCCAGTCTGGCATCTACAGCTTCAGAAAGGTGGTAAGTTGGAAAGGGCTCACAGAAGAGCCTTAATTAAAAGAGTGGAAGTCTCCTGTGTCAATGGCAAAAAGACTGTATCAACGTACAGACTTAAAAGAAAACTTAGAGGTAATTTGATTGCAGTCTCTAGACACACACCACACTAATTCAAGGCCACTTCAAAATGTACCACTTAAAGATAACCTTAATCAGTAGCTGAAAGCTAAAACTAAGCAACTTGTATCGTAAGACTGCATACTTTTTAAGGAGGGAATTAACTACTGAGAAAACTTACAAGAGATAGAGAAAGCTCTAAACAAATACGTTCTTAATCAAACAAGAACTACAGTATTTTCTGCATACAATGTGAATTGCTTTAAGAGTACCAATAATCGAAAATATGTCTTTGGATAACTAGATCAGAGAATAGAAATCAAAAGAAAGGAAAGAACAACAAGTACTAGAAGAGTCAAGTTAGGAACAGTAAAAGGCAAGGAGGCTACCAAAAGGCTTTGAGGTAAAGCTGCCCTCTTACTCGCATTCACACATGCAATAGTGCTGCTGGAACCAGTTTCCTTGGGGAGACTGTTAAGTTATTAGGTTACAGATAATGTCTTTTCACAAACATGTAAATATGCTAATTTAGAAAAATTCAATTAGTCTGACCATCTGCTTAACATAGGCTACAACACACAACGGTCCCACTTGGCCTGTAACACCGGAACTTGTAACTGCAGAAATAAGAACAGAAGCAAGCTCTCTTTTCCTGTATTCATGAAAAGAGCCTAAGCTGGCAACGCATTGTATTGGTGGTTTTGCACTGAAAACACACGTTCTTCACACCAGTGACTAGGTCTGAAAAAGGCCTGTTATGAAAACTGCATGGAAAACTGTAACTTGTCAAGAGCATTCTAGTTTTAGGTAGGGGTTATGATACTTGCAGTCTCCCTTCGGCAAGTTTTCTTTAAGTGGAGTTATCATAGGTCAGATCCCGGCTTGATAAAATAGTGGGATCTTCCATTTCAGATAAGGCAGGGAACACATATTTTGGTTTCAGTCAACTCTCATAAGATCAATGCAATTAAAAGGCCCTCACTGTACTTTTTTTGGAGGCATTAAAAATAGGAATGATTAGTAAGCTTCCAAATCCTAAACTGAAAGAAAAAAAAATACATTGCTAGACAACATGCCTCCTAATCCATCAAAATCTCAAGTAATTTAATCATTCCATACCAAAAGCAATTACAATGGCAGCTTTTATTTTATTATTCAGTCTCAGAAGTTTCCATTTGCTATAAAGCACGCTACTGACAACTGCTCACAGTTGCAAGACACAGGGCATGAAGAAACCTGGAAACTAGCATGATGACGATACACAAGAAAGGGGGCTGAGGCTCTTGTCAGAGGAGTGAGCCAGAGACTGCTGATCTCCAGGGAGAGAGTTTTTCTTCACCCCTTCTCTTGCAATCCCCTTCTGCCTGTTTTTTTCTTCAGTAACTGTCTTGTTTCTCCGTATTTTTCCCTCATTTCATTCCCTCACTCAAGTTTATTAGGTCTTAATCTCTTCATAATAGGAGTTAATGCCTTTAAAAGAGAAAAATAAAAATGTTTGATGGAAGAGTAGTCTACAGTCCTGTGCTCGCTTACACACTGGGACTGAATATAGTCTTTTTATGGTTAATGATCCATCTGCCTTTGCCCATTTCTCTTCTGCCAAGTGATATTAAACCCTAATACGAGTGCGACGCCAGTATTTGGCCACTTACAGTGTCATACAAAGCACTGGTCTTTATTCAGGTCTGTATCATTACTTGAACATCAACTTTCTTTTAAGCAGAGATTTCCTCAGATCCTGAGGAAAATCCTGAGCTGCATTTTGTTCATTAAGCTACATAATTGCTTTTGCCCATAGCAATTTCTCTGCTGACAGGCATTTTTTTTCCAGATTCAGCAGAAAAGCTAATAGTTCCCATGATGCACCTTTGAAAAGCAGAAGTTAGTAGATATCACCCAGTAAAATACTTACGTTCCATATTAAAACAACAACAAAATGGACCTGTGGACTTCTTTGCCTAAAACACTACTGTTACTCTTCAAGTGACAATGTCTTACTAAAGAAAAGCTGCCAGTGAAGATTTTTATTTAATGCCACTGGTACCCAAAACTTTCCAAGCTTCAAAGGGAGTTTTTTTTTCCTCAAACCAAGAATGGAAAAGAGCCCTCACCCACCCTAACTGGTGGGTTTACTTCTAGAGCTGAAAAATGACTAACTGGTTTATTAATTGACTTGTTTATTCCTAAGATAATTGAACCACTTCAGACTAACAGTTTGATCTGATTTTAAAGATACTAGGTTAGTCTTAATGCCTCATTAAAAAAATAATAATAATAATACCACCAACAAAATCACCATTCAGTTTAACAGAGTCTGGATTTTCTAGCTTATTCAAATACAATAAATTATTTTTTCTAAGGGTAATACTTCTATTGCTCTTCTACCAATAAACTGTTTTGGTTTATGTATAGTGGAACTATAAATATAATCTTCTTACTCATCTTGACCTAAAACAAAAATGCAGCATCCTCATTCTATCATTTGCAGCTCTCTTTTAATATAACTCCAAAAGCACACAGAGGTAACAGCATGTATGAAAAAAGAACGTTTCTATCAGGAAGTGCTTCTATACTTACTGGCAAGCAATCCGATTCCATTTGCTAGTGATCCAACCCAAGCAGTCTTGCCTTTCCCTTCTCCAAAAGTATCCAGCCATTCCAAATACAAGACTCCCACCGCCAGCGGTGATCCGTAACACAAGAACTGAGTAAAGAAGGAAACAACAACAATCACCCAGCCCCAGCCACCATCTGGTGGTTTCCGAAATACCATCTTGTCAGATGAGGGGAGATGTACGGGCGGAACCTGTGTAAACAAAGAACAGAACTGAGCATTAGAAACAGGACTGACCTAGGTTTGCTAATACAAATGGGCTGTACAGCAAAGTACACGTTCAGACGGAGGCTTGTTTCAATCATTCATCAAGAAATATATGCACAACAGCAGACAAGCAATGCAAAGTAGGTACCATTCGGTACTTCTGCCTCCTCTGCATAAAAAAGCAACAGTACACAAAGCATTAATAAGTCATATGTACTGCATTACTGTATTACAGAAAGAGGGAACGTTTGATCTTCCAAGTGTTAAATAGGCTTTCCGAAGACCTCAGGCATTAATATCTGCCACAGTTCAATCAGAGAACCACATGGCCACCTGCTGTTAAGACCTCAGATATCCTCAGTGAAGCATACAGGCTCAAAGGACAAGAAAACCTACAAGTATAAAACAATCCCAATAAATATTTTAGGACTTAAAAAAAAATCTTAAGCATTTTAGCTCAAGGTCAAAAAAACCCCAAGCAACAAAATCTCTTAGTTGTAATGCCAGGATAGTACCTTGCAGTTTAGCTAGGTGTTTGCCACCAGATAGTGTACTTGGAGAGAGGCTGGCCAAGAGGAAGATTGACATTCTGGAAATAGTAACAGTTCAGCAGAGCTCTGTCAACAAGGTGATGTGCAGAGGAGCGATGCCTCCAAAAATCACTTTGTACTTATTAGTAAGTGAAGCAAGTGCTAACCCTGTGTACAGGTGAGGTTATATGCCAAGACGTGACGATATCAAACACACACACAAAAAACTCCTATAACCTGTTACAGTTTCTGACCTCTGCACAGTTTGCATACATCTCCCTTCCTTCAACTGGCAATTACTTCTTGGACTCCATAAGTACCAGTTCATTACTTTGCGTGGCAAGATCCAGCACATACGCATCTCGGGCTTTAAATAACTTGCTGTCCTCACACCTTCTCAAGACTAGTTTGTGCATGTACGGACCGATACTTCTAAAATCTAGCAAAGAATTCAGAGGTTTCCCAGGCCAAATTGCTTTGGAGTCTGGATGACTCCAACAATCTTGTGAGTCCCTATGCACACAATTAACCTGCCCTCCCCTCTCTACAGGGAGCAATTTGCCGAAGCAATGATCACAAACCCTGCGTTTCTGGCTCACTCACCAACCACACATGTGATTCTCAACAATTTAATTTCCTTTATCCTGCAATATAGAAACAGATCAGATCCTACCCTGGTTTCTTCACACTGCAGCTTATGCATTAAGAGTGCTGCAGTAACAGTTCTGCTCCGGAGATCCCCAAGAGGCAAAGCAGAAAAATAAACGCTTCGCACCGCCTTTTGGACTTACAACCCAGAGGAGATGGAAAAAAATTACTGCTGTATGAAAGCAATGGCGTAAACAAGTAGACAATAACAGAATTTCCACTCAAGCTCCTCACACCCTTTGTGCAGGCAATTTTTAAGAATTTGCATGGAAAACTTACCAAAAAGCTACAGTATAAAATTTTGAGGAATAATTACTAGAGAGACATGAAAAAGGCCAGTTCCACTTTACAGACTCACTTAACTGTTACTTTGAGGGTACTTACAGATTATGACAAAGAAGTCTTTCAGCTTCCTGCAAATGTAATCTCACGTGGTGACTCTACCTGTAGAAAAAGAGCAACAAAGTAAGTTTTCAGCCAAAGTATCACTGCAACAGTGAACATAACTCTGAAAAACTGGTGTCTTCACATTAAATGTCTTGGTTTTAATAGATTTCCAGAGGAACTTCAGAAGTAATCAAGTTATCTCAGTGGCAAAATACTGATCCTCCCTCAATTAATCAACAGCTGACAGCAGCCTTGAGCCCCAAAATAACAAAAACATTGTCTACTAATGTAAAATAAACTTGGTAATCCTAGGTCCGTTAGGAGTGATTTACAGTTTTAAGATACTAATGGTCCTTCAAATGCAGTATTTCCAGTTACAAATCTTACGAAGTTTTATGTTTCAGTTACAAATGTAAGATCCTATTTATTTCCTCAAGTGCCTGGTAACTGTCCCTCGATTACATGAGATGGTGAAAACCACCACCACTTTTCGCCCCAGAAATCATCCTCAATGTGAAAACAGATCTACAAAGTCACCAACATGACCTGGCTTTTTCTTGTCTTTATGGCAGGTTGCTCCTTCACAACCTGCAATAAAGGGAAGTTCACACACTGCTGTGTGCTTATGACCTAAGTAAGGTGTATTTTCTACCTTCCCTGAGGGCACAAAGTCCTCCTGCAGAGCCGAGAGCCCTCTGCTACAATACACAGTTAAAGTCATCCCAGTATACCAAGCTGCTGCTGGGACCATGGATATCAATACGCTTTTTACTGGTGCGTTACTTAATGCTTCCCTGAAAATGATAACTTGTAGTATAAAAGCACAGTAACATGGACAAGAGCCAACAGCAGGAACTAAAGCTGAACTACCCCAGGCTTGCCTGGATGAGCATCAAATCCAAACTGCCTTTTATTATTTTCTGTCTGTGCAGGAAGATGACGCAGGTTATACAGACAAACATGATCATCAAACATAAAGAAGTAGTAGCCCACACAGAAGAGAGCACTCAATAGTTTTTTCTTGGAACCAACTAGGAAGACTTGTGCAATCCCAAAACCAGAAGAAAACAACCATGGGTTTAAGATTCAGGTGGGCACCATTACACAAACCTTACTACTCACAAAACCTAAGTATGTTGTTTCAGACTCTAGGAAACCTAGTTACAGCAAAAATACCAAAATGGAGAAACGAAGCATAAAGAATTAAACAGTAACTTGAAGTTTGGTCAGAAAAAGCTTTTCAGTGAGTTGTACTCACTGCGAATAAGAATCAGAGAAAGAGAGCTGCTTGATGAAAGCCTTTACCAACAGCAACAACAAAAAGAAACTCTAGAGAACAAACTGAACAACAGTTTTAATGTGGAAAGAGAGCACTGTCTGGCTCCAACTGTTTTCTTTTAACTAAGCAGCTTTATCACAATATTGAGCTCTTTCTCTATAAATCTTAAAAATTGGCTTGAAGATGAAAAAGGAGCACAAAAACCCCCACTGGTCTAAAGAACACGAGTACGACTCAAACACTAGCCCTCAGCACAGAAACTCATATTAATCTGTGGCAAAGGGAATCTTGAGAAAGACAGTAGCAATATGATTGTTTCCAGTTTGTTATTTGTGCAACTGGACTCTGGTTAAGTATGCTGCTTTCTGCAAGCAGCACATGGCTACAGAGAAAGCCGATGTCAGCAGAATCACTCTGTGATTAACACTCAGCTGTTCCAGTTTTGCAAGGCACCGGTACAAATTAAGACGGTACCAGTCAGAATAAGCAATATGCCTTATTTTAAGATGAATTAGATTTCACGTAAATTTCTATTTATTTTTCAGGCCATGTTCTTGCAACTAACACCTGAAGTTTTTGCCACTCTCTTAGCTTGCAAGTAAAAATACCTTGAGCACGAGAGTGGCAGTGATGTGTTATAGTTGTTTTTAACCTACTCATCACATCCAAATACCTGCATATGTACTGACCTGACAGCATAAGCACTGTATTAAATGTGCTCAAAAAGATGCATCTGTACTGTGACAGCATCAGACTTTAACTGATGTTCTGACTACAGTAGATGCCCACATTTAAATACCCATCTTTAAGTTCTTTCACGTGTAATGTATATATTTTCCTCTCGGCTCTCAGCATTCAGGTCTATTTCTCACGCTCCTCTGCTTTCCCTAAGTTATGCAAGAGCTTATCAACATAAATATTTCCTTCCATTTCTGCCTGATGAGGGAAGAAGCAGGGAGTTTTAAACAAAACAAAACACAAGAACAAAACTTACTCAGGGTATCCTAATCTCTTCCCATTGTGCGAAATAAGCTCAGATAATAAAGCATCAATCAGGGCAGGACACAAGCCAGGCAGTCCTGCACAGATCTGTCAGCTCAGCAGAACCAGTCCTACCTGTTTCCATGAGCCTCACGGCCCCAGAGGGGATGGACCCCGGCCCCGCGAGCATACCTCCCTGTCAGACACCAGCACACAGCCACGTACGGACCTTTATGGCCAGCGCTGCTACAAACCACCACACGACTTGATTTACCAGAGGAGAATTCCGCGGCACAAGGCGAGCGCGGCGGGTGCCGCCTGGTGCATCACAGCCCTCT